TGATTGGCAATCGAAGTACAAGTTAAAATCATACACAATTTCCACTCACGAATATGTAAAAACGCAAAACACATTGAAGATTACTTACAAAGCATAGCATTAGCTAAAACAACCACATATGGGCATCACTTGAGTTCATAAACTTTTAGCCGATTATATTGTCGAAGTCAATTTTGGAATAGTTGAGTCAAAGCTCATTTCATAATCTTTCTCACATTGTTTCATTTCATTGGTACCATTGGTCACAAGTATAACTTTCACTATTGGCACGTTGGCCATACTTTATATTCCCAATTTACTGATTTTACTTCCAACCATCTTTATAGGTTATCAACAATAAGACATTCCCAATTAAGACTTTAGGTACACATATGAGCAATTATGAGTCTTAAGAATATTGAGATTTTCTCACACAATTTGGCATACTAGCTTTCATTTGAAATATGATTCAAGCCACCACATTTTAATACGCAACCCATACTTTGAAACTCACGGAAACGTTATGGAATTCAATTCCAAGAGAGAAAGCTTATCCAACATACCTCAATTGAGCTTTCCTTAAATTACTACAACGTTCCGGAAATTCTAGCAATCCCAATCTCTAGGATGAAGACCTAGTAAGTTTCCCTCCTTAATCTTCCAAAACTTGAGCAAGAATTGAAGAATCAATTATAGAGGAACACCTTCTCACTCTAGGGCACTCTCTCTCACTCTAAAATATCAGATTATACCTCAAAAATGACCCAAAGAGTGTATTTAACGAAATAGGGTCAGGTTTTAAAAATCCAAAAATGAAGCTCCGGAACAGGTTCTGCGGTCGCATATGCGACCGCATGTCGGTCGCATTATTGGTATCCAAAATGACTAGAAATCTATCTGGGTCTGCGGTCACTATGCGGTCCGTATAACAGTTATGCGATCGCATGGTCGATCGCATAATTGCTTCCAACTGACCCAATTAACTGCCTCACTCTGCGGCCATTATGCGGTCCGCAGAGTGATTCTGCAGTCGCATAATGGACCGCAGAAATGCACTTTTCTGCCCAAAAATTTTCCTTTACTTTCCCGTGCATTGTATTTCTGCAATCCTCAAGCACGTAATCCTAGTCTGGCACCATGAAACATTATTTTCTTTGCAAATTTTACTGGGCTTTACACTTAAGTTCTTCAAAAAATTTCGGGGTGTTACAGAAACACCCTTCGTGCCATGAATATATGATAATATAAAAATAATTGCACGGCATCATCCTTCGTGCTTTTACTCTCATCCTCACCTGATAATATAAATGAAATAGCATGGCATCACCCTTCGTGCTTTACACTCTCAATGGCACGGCATCACCTTTCGTGCTTTACACTCTCAAATCGCACGACATCACCCTTCGTGCTTTACACTCTCAAATGGCACGGCATCACCCTTCATGTTTTACGCTCTCAAATGGCACGACATCACCCTTCGTGCTTTACACTCTTCCTTACCAAGCACATGTATATAATTAACAAGCAAGGTAGGAAGTATAAATAACATCAAGGAGAGTGTTTAAACCACAATAAAATACAATAATTCATATCTCAATTTTTCACTGACCACAACCAAATTCCAAGTATGTAGCAGAATCAATAAATTTCTCAACAAATAGCCCAAGGCTCCACACAACGTATAATAAACCTCAAAACAATCAACAGAGATGAAAAATACTCAATATAGGGCAGCGCCTTCATTAATCCAAATTCTTGATAATTATATTAACTCCTCAATTTAAGCTTATTTAATAAATATTGCAGATAAGGATTCTATCATGAATTTAATTTCAAGAAAAATATCAAATCAACAAACACACGGAATTCACATAAAATCCAAGTGACAATAACACCAAATTATTATATAAAATACAAACTTGACAAATGAGGAACGAGGCATAATAATTCAAGAATTTACTAATGCCAACAATTATCTAATTTAATACATAAGAATGCCTAAAAATTAAACCAATAAAAATTGTACATATAAGCCTGAGTACGTACTCGTCACCTCGCGTACACGATTTTTCATATTTCACAAAAGAGTACATAAGACTCGATGCCTAAGGGGTAATTCCCCCACTCGAGGTTAAGCAAGACACTTACCTTATTGAAGTTATGCTGATATTCCATAATCGCCTTCTTGCTTGAATTTGACCTCCGGACAGCTCAAATCTATCCAATTCAATTGTATAATTTCATTAAAATTCATCGAAAATAATTTCGGATAATAATACGTCGACTTAAAAATTTATTCCAAAAAGTCAACCTCTCCGAACCCGACATAATTTTCATGAAATTCTAACACCCATTCCGATACGAGTTCAACCATATCAATTTTATCAAATTCTGATACCATTTCGTCCCTCAAATCGTGATTTTTTATTTTGAAAATTTTCTTCAAAAACTACCCTTTTCCTCAACTCAAAATACAATTTAAATGATAAAAATAAAGATAAAATCATGGAAATAAATAGATTCTAGGTGAAGAACACTTACCCAATCGATTTGCTTGAAAAACCCACAAGGAATCGCTCAAATCGAGCTCTACAAGCCAAAATGTAATAAAAATGGTCTAACCCTCGATTTGAAAAACTTATAATCTGCCCAGGTCTGAAAGCATCGCGAACGCGGAGAAAGGCTCGTATTAGCGAAGAAGGAAGGTAAGGCTGTCCAGAAAAATCCTTTGCGAACGCGAGGGAAGGAGTGCGAACGCGAAGAACAAGGGACAGAACCTACGTGAACGCGAGACGTTGAACGCGAACGCGAAGAAGAGATATGAGGCTGCCATGAAGAGCTTCGCGAACGCGAGTGGCTAATCGCGAACGCAATGGAGGAAAAGGCAAACCTTCGCGAATGCGAGAGGTTGAACGTGAACACGAAGAAGAAATATGGAGTGGTTAGCAGTAACACTTCGCGAACGCGAGATACTCTTCGCGTTCGCGAAGAAGAACAACAAAAGACAGAAACAACAGTTCAAAATAGGAGGGAAATGACCCGTAGCCCATCCGAAACTCACCCGAGGCCCCCGGGACCCCGTCCAAATATACCAACAAGTTTCATAATCTAACACGGACTCGCTCGAGGTCTCAAATCACATCAAACAATGTCGAAACTACGAATCGCACCATGAATCGAACTCATGAACTTCCAAAACTTTCAACTTCGAAAACTCGTGCCAAAACCTATCAAACCAACCCGGAATGACGTCAAATTTTGCAGGCAAGTCCCAAATGACATAACGGAGTTGTTCCAACTCTCAGAATCGCATTCTGACCCTGATATAAAAATGTCAACTTCCGATCCAAATCTCCAAAAATTTGACTTTTGCCATTTCAAGCCTAAATTAGCTACAGACCTCAGATTCACAGTCCGGATACGCTCCTGAGTCCAAAATCACCCAACGAAGCTAACGGAACCGACGGAACTCCTTTCCGGAGTCGTCTTCACGCAATTCCGACTGCGGTAAAAATCTTAAGACTTAAGCTTCCGTTTTTAGGACCAAGTGTCTCAAATCACTCTGAATCATCCAATAACTGAATTCAACCACGCATGCAAGTCAATACACATAATACGAAGTTGCTCAGGGCATTATGCCGTCAAATGGGACTTAAATTCCTAAAACGACAAGTCGGCTCGTCACATCGGCCAACCAAGACAGCTCACTTTCTATTGATCAATGTGAGTTACTCTATGAGCAAGCTAGCTAGCCCAAATATATATTGATGAGATAGTGTATCTACACGGAATACGATCATCCATAGTATGAGACAGAAATCTGTGGTTCAATTCAACCTTGTTGTAGAGCCTACGGAGAAGGCTTTGGGTAGCAGATGCCTAAACCTTCCATGCTTAGATCAATGGCTAGTCTAAGAGGACCATCTAGACATTGAAGGCTATGTGAAGGAGCTTGATTTTCGGGACTGTTGGGTCATGGATAAACCCTTAGTAATTAAGGAGCGCTTCCCTTTAATTGTACAACATAAATCTAAATAAGTTCGTTTTTTCTCATACCTTGCCACTGCTCTGATAAAAGAATAAAACTAACAAATAAAGAGATAAGTGATCGTACGTACGCGAGGATTGAGTTGGCAAATTTGGCGTTTTTAATTATGTGCGGTAGCAGAGATTCCTGTGCTTTAATTGGAATAAAAGGTCAAATTGGACTGCAACTGCACCTCTAGTTTTTATTTCCAGCTTGTTAATTTGGTTTTTATGGCTGTCATTTTGCTCTCGATGAGTAATTTTTTAAGTTTACATGGTTTTACTTTTTTTATTTGCCTATTCACATTAACCTATTTATTATACTTCAACGAGAATAGACAAGAATGCGTTACAATTTTTCGCATATTAGCTATATAAGAAAAGTATATATATTTATGTCTTACTTGCGAATCATTTTCCTAACGCTTTGGGTTAATGAATTTACACAATTCATCTAAAAGCACCCATGTAAATCATCTTTTTCTAGTTCGATTTAAAGGCTGAATATAGAATTTAATTGGTGATCAAATAATTTAAACGGTTAGGCGCAAGATTGAATAAATAACTAGCTAGTAAAGCTATCATAAATTCATTAACAAAAGATAGGAATCATAACATTCATATAAAGTTTGCCATAACCCTAGAACAAGGTATCTAGCTACACATGCATGGCACGAAAATAACAATAGCTAATTTAATCAAATGAAGGATAGAAATCAAGAAGTAGAGAAAAATAAAGAACTCTGTTCACGCCTCCAATTCCTAGCATTGGCCTCTCAAAAATTTCCTCCAAAGTCTAATCAAAACCTCCCAAAAACATAAAATTGAAGACATAAAATTACTACATCCGTTTCAATTTATGTGAACATGTTTTCTTTTTAGTCCGTGCCAAAAAGAATGACATATTTCCCTATTTGGAAAACAATTTACCTTTATGCAATGATTTATAGTCACACAAAATACATGTGCTTCATTTTACATCACAAGTTCAAAAGTCTTCTCGCTTTTCTTAAACTCCGTGTACAGTCAAATGAGTTCACATAAATTGAAACGGAAGGAGTATATAATTAAAGTATAATTCTATAATAAGATGCCCCCTTTAACAGTAGATATGAGGATCCACACTTTTGCATGTAACTTTGTAGTAGGTAAATTCCTCACGTTGACATCCATGTATAAATTAAAAATTCAGTAAATTTTGAGGAGACATATTACTAAGACATTATTTTTTTTTTTAGGAGACATATTACAAAGACATTTTTTTTTGAGTTTAAATTATATATACCGTCAGTGTAAGGTAAATTACCATTTTCTTAAAATATGAGATTTATAATTTTAAACCATAAATGTGACTAGATAGTGTAAAAATTTCGTATACTGACAATATATATAAATTAAACTTATTTATAGGCGACGGCCACTGGTACCACCTTCCCTATTGCAGTTGAAGTGAACAGCAGCAACAGGCAAATTGAGATTGTGAAACCTTGCAAAGTCTCTAGTGTGAAAATTCTGACGAGAATCAATTATATCAACATTCACAACCTCTCGATCCAATTGTCGAAACAACACGAAAATATAGCGATGAATTCCCAATGAAGGTCGTGGACTCTCGTAACGTACAATTTCATTGCCTGTAGTGCAGTAAAATAAATCAGTTTTAACAAGGGTGCTGATGAATTTCACAAGTAATATTTCTGTAGAAGAATACACATATAGTCGTCCATTCAACCGCTTAAATTAAATATGGCAGACAGATATAAAATTTATGTATATCGGTTAGGAAAAGTAAACATCATATATGCTATATATTTGTTTAAATATTGTATGTACATGTACACACGATCAGTGGCTGATCTAGAGGGCAACGTGCGGGTTCCCGGGAACCCAATGGTTTTTGCACCGTCCGTATATATGTAGTAAAAAAATTATTAAATATCTATAAATATTTGATTGTGAACCGAGCTGCTAACTTGAGATCATTATAGGAATCCATAAACTTCATAGTCTAGATCCGCCTCTACGCACGATTAGTCTTTTTTGCTGCCTCTCCCCATTTCTTGGTTCGATTCAAACATATGTAATCTATTTCTTGTCCAAGAAAGAAATGCCGGTTAATTTCAAGTACGGAGGGGAATTATAACAGTAAGCGATTTAATTATTTTTTGTTATATTAATGTAATTGATTATAACAATAAAATTACTAATAAATTTTACCTACTTTAACAGTAAAGTCATAAAATTGTTTACATTAAGAAAAATAAACTTTACACACTATATAAAATCACTATATCTTGTCCAATATAACTATAAAACATACCCATTAAGGAGAGTTTTCAGTTATAGTGGATAAAGTTTTGTGATCTGACTATACTGTTATAGAGGGCAGCATTCATCTACTATTCTACTTTAATGAAACAGGGAAATAGTTTTATGGCTTTACTATTAGATTGATTAAATATTATGATAAAAATAGTTAAGTGACCTTACTATTATAGTAGGCAAAGTCAGCAACCATATATGAAATTAATTCAAAAAATGCTTAAATTTTTTCCTTGTATTTAAATATTAAGTGGTAAGCGGTTTCTTTATTTTCGTATAAGATTAAAAAAATGCAGTCACACTATAAATAAATATAAGCATTGATAGTCATATCCCAAATTGAATTACAACAAGAATATATGTTGTGGTATTGTTAGCTTCATACTTAGTTGTTTTTTGTTAGTAAAGCAGGTAAAAATTTACTCGTACTCGATGTATACACCAAACCAATAAAAGTATGATATGTCTTTGCACATAGAATTCAATCACTTCGCTGTTAATTAATGCATATTTTCACTTCATTGAATCGCTTAATGGGAAGATTAACTGTAAAGTATGAAGTTATGTTGTATCATTTGTTTAAGGTAACCTGCTAGGTTTGGTATACCAGAATGTTTTATTCGATCTAGTTTTCTACCATGTCAAAAAGTTAAATTATGTAAATGTGGAATGTTATAAAGCATGAAAAAATACTTTCTGAAAATATTTAATTTATGGAATAGCTTTAATTTTCAAAATTTTGATTGGTCTAAACTTCTCTAATTAAGTATATTTAAGTTAAGATTCATGACAAAATAGGCATGCCCACATGTAAAGTGTTTGCATGAGTTGTGCTGCCCCAGGTAACGCCTGTTATTTATTCATTAATTGGTCGTAAATATTGAGTGTAGGTAAATTTTTAACAAATATTCAGTCCTAAAGAACTCATGAGTCATGATTAACTTTTTAAGTAAGAAAACTTACCAAAGTTTGCTCCTGTGGTTGCTGGGATATCTGTGACCAGCCTAGCAAAATTAATAAACCAAAGTCATGATTAATATTTTTTTTTCTTTTTCACAGATAGTAAGACTTAATAATCTTTAAAATGAAGCACTAGATCATATATAATAAGTTCTAAATTTTTACAACTGATGCTATATTGGATACAAACTCAGCCAAAATTTTATAATACGTTTGTTTTGAAGGCCTGCATGTAATAATACACACTAGTACGCTTGACCTTAAACTAATTTTAGTGTTCAAAAGCATTACATAGAAATCAAAAAACTGCCAACGTGAATAACGAAGTACAACTGTAAAAGTTTGGAGTACAAATGTCAGTGCAGTACATCTAATTTAAAGTGTGATTCATGCCAAAACTAAGAATATTGTTTCCTTGATATTCTTTCATTTTTATAGTCCACCCAAAAACTACTACTACTATTATGTCTTAATCCCAAATAAGTTAGGAGATTTTTTAATTAAATTTTGTATTTAATAATAATTTAATTCTAAACTTTTTATTTTATTTTATTCTCAAAAATTTTATGATTTATTTTAGACCACATTTTTTTAAAAAAAAATTTCGTTCTTAAACTCCGTGAGAAATTATACATTGTCACGTAAATTGAAAAGAGGAAATTTTTTCTTCTTTTAACATGAGTACCACGAACAAAAAGAACAGAAAAAATAAAAGATGGACCATAATCTTACCAGTGGAGATACTCCCTCTGGTTTGGGTTGCTCGGGGTTGGAGCATCTGGATCCACCATAACCTTCCAAAAAATGGATAGAGGATTTCACGTATCTTGAAACCAATGTCAAATTAAGAAAATAATTTAACTTTTGTATATTGATATATCATGTAAAAAAAATTATTAGTGTAATGTGACATGTTATAACATGTAACATTTTATATTTTTCAAGTTATTAATCTCATCTTTATTTTTTACATGAGCTGATAGTGTAAAAATACTTTGACTTTCTGCATATACTCTATTATGTAATCTAATTTAAAAAGGGGGGAAATAAAATACTGTTATATTGTTTATCAAAATAATGTTATTCCCTTTGTCCCAATTTATGTGGCGTTGCTTGGCTCAATACAAAGTTTAAGAAAGAAATGAAAAAGTTTAAAATTTATGATCTAAAACAAACCATATAGACATTTATGTGATTGTAAATTAATTCATTAAGGGTAAAGTAGGAAGTTTAAAGTTAGATTTAATTTAAAATAAGAAATTATGATATTTTATTGGGACAGACTAAAAAAAAAGTATGACACATAAATTGAGACAAATGGAGTACTATATTTGCTTATGGAGTAGCTAGTGAAAAGGAAGAAGATACAAATTAAAAGTGTAATCCAATGCACGAAGTATCTCGCGTTTACGCAGGGTTCAGACAGAGGTGAGGCCAGAATTTCAAACTTATGGGTTTAGGAGTCTAACCCTTTTAAGTTACGGGGTTCTAAAATAATAATTCGTACATATTCAATGAACTTTTAAGATAAATACATGATTTGAATCAAAGTTACTGGGTTCGGCCGAACCCGCAGTCGGCACTCTGGTTACGCCCCTGGATTCGGAGAAGGGTCGTACTCCAAGGAGTGTTTACCCTGGCACAAGGATCAGCGGCTTATTATATGGCTAAAACTCATAATCTATATAGAATATATGGAGACAACTTTACCGTTATTCCAAGACTCTGCAAACAAAAAAAAAAAAAAAAAAAAAAAACTTCATTCTTTCCATTTTATGTGACCTACTTTAATCGAGAAATAAGTTTAAAAATAAAATGTAACCATAAGCACCTGTGTCGTGTAAAATATAAATTATTTTATTAATAATAAAATAAAAGTTTTATAATTAAANTCCAATGTCAACCCTGGGTTGGTTGACAATTTGTGAAGGCCTCAATCCACAGCCATTGTAGACCTGCACCCTATTATTGTAAACCACATTAAAGTCTACGGACCTTGTAAATGGATCCAATACATCTCCTATTACACCAGATACTACTAAAGGATCTAGTCTTGACATTTTGATGGTGTGGAAATTTTTACAAATTTAGCTCTATTTTATTCTTACATGAGCCAATATTGTTCATGACTATAGGAGGAGCTAGCTATTGCTATTTATATATGCTATGTCTTTCTTTACAATCACAAGAATCTAAAGTTTTGAAGCTTTTCTCTAATGGAAAAACCATATTCTGCTCAATTGTCGGTTTGTATAGCTTTGTTTGACAACTACAAGTTATAAGAAAATAAACAGACCCTTTAGCCATGCATGGATTATTGTAATAACGGCCTCTGAAAGAAGAATTAACTTAAATAGTAGGTGGATATATGTATAATATATATATTCTATATATAATATTTATATAACCATGTATAATCAGTATATAATGTATGTATACCGGCTAGAAAAAAAAATAATGAACCCGTTCGGCTGTTTGCTATTTGTGTAAAATCCCCTAACTGAAATCGCACTCATCCAATTAAAAACTCACCCTGGTGTTTACCGATATTTGCGCTCAGCTGCTGAATGATAAGCATGTGTATCTCATTAGGATATTATTGTTTAACCGTGATTAAGTGATATATATATTATTACTTTTATAATTTGTAACCGCCAAAGTTAAATTTCTTGGTTTAATCGCGTTGGGTCCTCATCCAACTTGTTTCCTTCCCTTCTCCCTCTGAGTTTATCAAGGCACCTTTATTTTCTTCTATGCGTTTTACTTTTACTAATTGTTCGAAATTTTGTTAAATAGGAGGATCACTATAACTATATAACGCCCCTCGAAACAAAAAACAAAGATGATTTATGTGATCATAGTATTATAAATGTGATTATGATCCGAGCTCTGAAGATATATATGATTATCTTTTTTTAAAGCTTAAATTGTAAGAGAGGATATTTTTATTTACTTAATTAAATCTTAAACAGATGTGATTATGATCCGAGCGTTGTTTGAAAATACGACATCTACATCTAGGCCTCTCTTAACCTATTGTATGTTTGGGGTCTGAAAGATGATGAATGAGCAAATTACACTATTAATCACCGGGCATCCCTTTTTCGTATCAGTTTGTTTAGTAAATAACTCTCTTTTTATTTTTCTTGCACTTGATGAACCTTTTAGACTGTGATCTAAATATTGTTTTTGAACAAACTAAAAATCTTATGAGAAAACGTTAAACCACAATCGAATATGTTATAAGCAAACTGAAAATGATATGATCAAACATAGATAAAAATCTAACGTTCTCCTAAAGGAATAATTTTCCTAAGAGCTAAATTTTCACTAACTTTTTAGAGTCAAAATCTATAAAGTAAATCAGCCCAAAATGCAAGATTCATAGAAAATGATGGCTTGGCTAACATATTGGGTTTGCTCAGCCCAAAGTAGTTTAGAATAGCAGAAGTAGGGGTGTACATAGGTCGGGTTGGTTCGAATTTTGCAATTACCAAACCAAACCAATTGTATCGGATTTTTAAATCTATAGACCAAACCAAACCAACAAAAGTCGGGTTTTTCAATATCGGATTTTCTCGGATTTCTCGGGTTTTTCAGATTTTTTTTCCGATAAACTTGTGCTCCAAATATTTCTATAGTCCTAAATACAATTTTACCAATAACAACCATGTTTTTATTTTTTAACATTGACCTCAACTATGCTAGTCAATAGGTTGTATGGTTCCACTTTTTAAAGGTCTCTACTTTATAAATTATTTTTCATTTTACACTAAAATGCTACTAAAAGCTTAAAGCAATTGACATGTCCAACTTCAATTGAACCTTAGATAAATAATTAGAAAGAGCAGGTTGGAGTATCATGGACAAATTAATTGCTTTAAGTATTGTAAAAAGTCTAATTTCTCCAACTGTCAAATCAACTGAACCTTAAAGAAACAATGTAATACAAAAGTTTCTTAATCGATTAAAAACTATGCACCAACTTTCTTTTAATTAATTACCTTAAAGTAGTAAAGATTCTAAAAATAATCATGAAGCAAATTGTAGTTAACTATCCCTCTAATCAATCCCCAAAGGTGAGTCTGCATATTTGGAAAAAAAGAAATAATTAACATATTTAATATTAAATAATATAAAAAAATAACTATATTCATTAACAATTAAATATAAATTATTACCTTCTTCAACTTGCTCAATTTTCTGGACTTCCTCTAACATGTCTTCAAACTTATATTCCTTGAAAATACATCATTGTAAGAAATAATGTAGGAAATACATCATTCTTAATTTTACATAGTTCATATTATTTAACCAAATGATTCAAAATATAAGTAAAAAAGTTTCAATATCTTTTTAAGTAACGATCAATTACTCGTGTTAATCATCTAAGAGAAACAAAATAAACAAATGAAGTTGATAATAGGGAGGAATATAACAGATTTGCAAAAAAACTCGCTAATCGGAAAAAGAAAAATCTTAGTTAATTGGAAAAAAGCAAGGCGTATGTATGCAGTTAAAAAAAAAATATGTAAAATGAGAAAGGGAAGAGCCTTACCGATGAGAGCAAAAGAGAGTTGATAGGGTTTGAGCTAATTGGGGGTTTTGGAATGGAACGATAGGGTTTCTTGCTTTTGGAGAAGAGACAAAATAATTTTAATTGTTTAAGTATTTTAGAACAGCTTTAGGACTAGGTTTTGGTTTGGGCTCAATTATTCTTTTATGTGCCAGACAAAAACAAATATTTACATGGGCTATAAAACCAACTTAAAATATTATGCTAAATACAGAAATTATAAAAAAAATTAAGAAATATTTATAACTTACATTCTAATAAATATTTTTATCTATCTAATATATAAAATATGTATACATGTAATGTCGGGTTGGTTTGGTTTCGGTTTGACTTTTTTAGTTAATACCAAACCAACCATATTATGGTCGGGTTTTATTTTTCAATACCAAACCAAGTCAAACCAAACCACTAGTCGGATTTTTTTTTTCGGGTTAACTCGAATTTTTGGGTTGGTGTGGATTATCGGTTTGGTTTGTAAACCCCTAAGAATATACTTGCTTTTTCTACGATTTTTTTAAAGTTAAAACTTGGAAAAGGATGCCTATGTCTTCTTTATAACCACATATGCTATTCAATGAATCTTTTGAATAATATAGATGGAAAAAGATGTCCACGTGTCATCTTTATCACCACAAATGCCCCAAAAGACCTTTAGATTCCAAGGGATAAGAGTCATAATCAAAATGTTTTCTTTATTTATTGGGGCTTTTAAATAATGAAGCCAAAAATTGTGAGAGGTAAAGGAAAAAAATTACTTCTATTATTCCAGCAAATTAGGAGGTATGGATTCCAAGTTATGACCTAAAGAAAAATATAGTTACCTTTATTGATACACTAAATAAGCTTCTCGTATATCGGGGCAAATTTAACGTTTGATATTGTTGGGCTAAGTCAATCCAATAACATAGTGATACCGTGTTCTTTAGGCCAAGCTCGTCCGTTATTTTTTAAAAAAGATCTCGCATTCATTAAGAGATCCCGATACTTTATGTATAAACTTTTAATTTTTCAGCTATTAATGTGAGACTTTGTTTACACATGCAACAATCTCTCTTTCGAACTAAGTTCTACGTGCCCACTACCACGATTCACAGTTCTCCCTCTCGAACTAGTTTCATGTGGCCCTTACCACGATCGAGATTCATTATGTGTCCCCTATATTGTTAGAGTATTTATGGCAATCAAAGCCCGCAACTATCTTTTTTTTTTGTGCGTGTCTCTAAGCTCGTAAGGATAAGCAAACCGAGCCTGGGACTATCACTCTGCCATCGTCAGACTCGTCCCACTGAATCTGGGCTCTAACACTAATTGTTTAGCTTAATAAGTCCGAAGTGGTGTGATATTGTCCGCTTTTGGTCAAACTCGCATGATTTTTTCTAAAAGGTCTCACACCGTTAAAAAATTCTTACACCTTATATGAAAGCTCCTAATCTTTTCAAGTACTAACGTGAGACTTTATTCGCACACTCAATAGATGTTATTTTTCAGTGAACGAGGTTTTCTTTCTAAAAAATGGTCACTTTAATTTCACATAGTCGTATATTCTTGATTTAATACTTTTTTTTACAATCCCTTCCCTTTGATTCATCTTTAATTTCCTTTGTTAGAGTTGTTGCTTCTTTAATGACCGGAATTTATAACATAAGATTGTAGGTGGGGTACCAACCATGTTAGCAACTTCTTTTGTCCAATGAACGAGGTTCAATTATTATCTTAGACAGCTATCGTACAAAGGAGATGGTGCTGTTTTTTATGAGTGCATGGCACAATCAATTGGTGAGATGCACATAAGAGGAAAGAAGGAATATTTAATTTATTTTATCCGTTTGGATACGTAAGAATAAACTATTTCAGGAGGTCCTCTTGAGTTTTTGTGGCCATAAATTAATAGCAGAGTTCTGTCACTTCAGTTCAGTGGGCCTGCTGACTTATATAATATTCTCGGATCAGAAATTCGAATGTGACAGTTGAAGCAACCCTTGGCGCAATTTCTTTGAGCACGAGACCATTTCGTTAAAGGCGGACCCCGATTTTGATAGTTGTGGGTGCACGTTTTTATTCGATCAAAATTTACTTTGTTCGTAGGATGTCAATTATTAATATATTATTATTTTTTAAATATATATATATATATATATATATATATATTGTCGAACTTTACGGGTATCGATGACCTTTCTATCTATTGCGGTTCACCTCTAATTTCCATCTCCCTTTTATCTAAAACAAAAATAGTGGTATCGTCTCGATCAGTTTACGCGCATTTTAATTATTCTATTGAGCAATTGCTATATTTTACTTACATATGTATTGAGTAACTTTGCGCACCAGAACTTAAGCAAGTAATGAGAAGCGAAGTCGGGATTTAAAGTTTATGAATTTTAAATTTGTTATTGAATACACAACTTGTTTTATACACAACAACAACAATAATAAATTCAGTGTATTCTCATAAATGAGATTTTGGGAAGGTAGTGCATATGCAGACCTTACCCATATCTTATAAAAATAAATAGATTGATTCTGATAGA